GCAAGACCCTACCTTGTAAACTCAGAAAATTATGAGTTTTTCGCGGTTAAGCCAAACACGCTTAACCACCATTAAACTACTGTTAGCCAGAAGGAAACAGATAGTTATAAAAGAACAAAGAGAATACAAAGAGATACATTGCCACTGTTCTAACATATTGAGTATCACAATCTCCTCTCAACTTTTGGACGCTGACTGAAACTTTTGAAATAGGATTAGAGCAAATATGATCTAACTACACCTAATTTGTTTTAATATTTATGAGAGGGACGCGTTCTCTATAGAACGTGTCATAATAGGGAGACCTAGATCAAAATTAACATGGCTTGTGGTCATGAAGGATTTTCTTGCATTGGGCATTCCTTGTGGCGCTGAGAGATGTGTAAAAGAAGATAATATCTGCAACAAAATCTATGTTCTTTATAATATCTTTAGTTAAAATGACTAACATACATGCATTAATTATTTATATTTCTTTGGTAATTCAATATTTAGTGCCTTTTGCTCTTTCCCGTTGATGATTATGGTTGCATTGTTTTGTTAGTCATACGGAGATTATGATGGAGATAGAGATAGGATAAAGATGGATATAGAAATAGAAGTTAATTATTATTTTAAAATAGAGTTTAATTCAAAGTATGTTTATTTCAATTAGATTAGATTAGTTTTAATAATTCGATCAAGTTCTAGTTTATCAGAAGTTATTTTTTGATTTTAGACTTGTTTCTATATATACAGATAGCTTATTCATTGTAATATTCACTCTTGAATATATGATAAATCGATTTTCTTCTTTGCCTTCAGTTCTTTTCTTCTTGGACCCCCTTTCTTTCTTGTTCCTTTTCTTGTTCGTTGTCAAATTGCTATGCTCCTGCATCAGATTCATTTCCCTCCAATTAGTTTGAGGAACTATAAATACATTGACCTCTTACAAGAAAATGATGAGAAAGCACTAATCCTTGTTTAAGTTTCAGCATCAATATCTGATATTGTGGGGTCTGCTTTCCTTAAATTTACTTTATATAATGCTTGGTTTTATTTTCGAATTATGTCTCGACGATCAATTACATTACTATTCAGTCCATGGTTTGATATTTGAATATATGTTTTGCATGTGATTCGCGAATAAATCTACGTATATCTTAGCAAAATTATTCCATGTTGCATCAAGAATCAACCATATTGCAAACCTCACATAGTACTTATCCGACTTTTTCTGTGAATTGGGATATGCATGTGTCGCTGTATTGTAGTAATATTCTGATGTTCTCTACAGGGCATTGCTATTGCACTCAAATGTGGAGCAACCAAAGCACAATTTGATAGCACTGTAAGCTGAAATGACTTTTCAAAGCTATTATTTCATGTTGCTTTTCACTTTACTTCCATTCTTTGCGTACCTCTGTGGTCTGGTCATGTTCGATTCTGAGTCCAATTAATGCATGCTATCAAATCCTTGTTACCGAACATGTCAATGGAGAATAAGGCTTTGATTAGTCCTTTAGGAGCATAAAAGACCTCAGTGGACATTAATTAATACGAATGGTGTACGCCTTTTATTTTATCAATCTTTATGCAAAGTGCATTTCTTGAAACAGTCCTGAAATTGAGTAGCAATCAAAAGGCAGGATCCATATGGTTCGGTTCATTGATGAAATCATTTATCAAACTTTGCAGAAGTAGGCAAATAGGATTAAGTACTTCACTGTCTTTATTCATGATTTGAAGTCTTCAAAATAAAAATGGTTGCAGTAACTAATGTGTATTTGGAAGTTGTGAAGGCGAAAATATTTATTCGATCATTTCAAGTTTCCCTGACATGGTACTGGATTGAGTGAAATTCTACACGATCCAACTTTTTCTAAGACACTTTTTACCGTACTTTTTGCAGGTCGGCATACACCCTTCGGCTGCTGAAGAGTTCGTGACAATGCGGTCTATCACAAGACGAGTTGCTTCCGGTAAAACAAAGACAAACCTATAGACATTAATAGGTGATATATAGAGTATTGTTTAAAAGATATATAGTATTAAATTATTATATGCAATTTGGTTGTTTTATATTTGGAAAAACACTCGCATCTTTACTTTTGCAATGCCTTTAATGTCAAACTATTACTCATGATGAATAAAAAGTAGCTGTATTTTGTGTTTTGAACTTTCAAAGTTTTGAAATAAGTGCAACTGTGCAGGACATTTATTAATATATTGGTTATATTTACACCACCAATTATGTTTGTTACATAACATAAACTAAAAGATTCTGCTACTTGTACATAAAAAAATATATATAATGAATTATATCATATGATGGGGAGGGAAAAAATTTAATGACAAAATCGACTGTATTTTAAACTGACAAACAGTAGAGTGTTATGTTGCATTATGTAATCCATTATTTAAATCTTGATATAAATGTAGCAAGATCCATTGTCATTAATAATTTTTTGGTTATTACATTTATATCCTTAACTTTTTTTTTTTTCGTCACATTCTTATTTTTAACATTCAATTGATTAGAAAATCTTGTCCTTAATTATAATTTTCGTCTAAAAATATTGTTAACATGTTTTAAAATGAGGGTTAAATATTTAATTTTATTTTTGCACTATTATTTGTTTTGCTTATTTAATAATACAATGGACACATAAGTCTTTTTATTTATTTAAAAGGAAATTTTAGAGAGAGACCATAATCTGGAACAATTTTATGTTAATTTGATAATAAGATTGAGATAAAACAATTTGAGACATAAATGTAGTAATGTGTAAAGGTTATGAACATTTCTTGCAATTAAAATCAATTTAATTATTTAAATATATTTTGCCTTCTTACGTACTAAAAGATCATATATAAAATGACATATATACCCCTCATTGACCCTCGTATGTTTTCTTGAATTTCATCCCTAAATAAGATTTGAACTGCTGTCACTATTCTTGTAAAACTTTGATCTTATAACTTGAATTAGGCCTTGATTTATTACATTCATATATTTACATACAACACAAATAAGAACTCCAGCCTATATATTTAAGTACACCACAGATGTTGGGAAATTTTTCTTTTTTCGAATTTATATTTTATGAATAAATGTAAAGCTTTTGTGTACGAGAGGAGAGAAATATTTGCCGGCAAACAATAATAAGGCCCTGTTTGATTTTTATTATTTTTCATGGAATTTTCCAAATTCCAACTTTTTTCTTATTTGATAGCGAAATTTTTCTTGGCAAAAAATTCCCCCCTCCCCCAAGTGACCCATTTTTCCAAGTTTTCATTGAATTTGTTGTCCTGCCACTTTGGTAGGAAAATGATTNCTCAAGTTGCAAGATGTGTTTAGGAGTGTGCACAATTTGATTCAATCCGATTTCAAAGGGAATCGAATTCGAACCGAATTCTAACGAGAATTTTAGAAACGGAATCATGGGTTCCACATCTAAATATAGAACCGAACTGAAATCGAACCAATCGGTTCTAGTTCTATCTAGTCCGGATTTGTTCTTTATATTAAAATTTTTATAAAAATAATGTATTAAATTACTCGTTAGATTAAAAATCGATAAAATAGAGTTAAAATCACTAATCATTCTTGTAATCTAATAATATATATTAATTAAATAAGACAACAAATAAAAAATTGTATACTTGATTAATTGTGGGAATTATTAAGTAACTATAATAGTTTATAATTTTAGATGTTTGATATGTATTATTTTAATTATTAAATAATTTTTAAAACAATAAAACATTTTTTTACGCCTAAACCTCGCCTTGGCTCGCTTAAACTCTTAAAGTTTGAAGTTTCGCTTCCACGTCTAACCATGTCTTACACTTTTTAGAATATTGTTTGTAATGATTCTAACAATTTTGTGTAGTTCCTTGAATCATAGTTTTTTAATCGTGACAAGATAAAAAGTTTTAATATTTGAGTAGTGTCTTAATACTAAGGGCAATCACGATGTGAATCTAAATAAGGATGCATATTAGACCAATTCTCTTTAAATCAAAACTAAAAACAGTTTTTAAAAGATAAACTAAACGTTCTCCGCTTTAATCTCTCTACCACGGTATAAAATGCCCGTCTTGATCTACGTTGCTATAAGATTGTAATCGTATTTCCTCTACCATAAATTGTTAAGTAGTGATTTATCTACTCGATAATTGGTTTTTGTGGTTAGTAAAAGTTGAAGAACAATGCTTAGTGTACAATGATTTTGACAACATTCTTATTACATGACAGTTTAAGGGCCCGTTTGATTCTTATTATTGTATAATGAGAATAAAAAATATAACCATTATTGGACTCCACACAAGAGATAGAAATTGAAAATTGATACCTTGATGTGATAGATAACGATTATATTTTTCATTTTTATGGATGAAAAATGAGAAACAAACGGGGGCTAAAAAACAATTTATCATTTCAATCGGTACTTTTTTGCTACAACTAATATTGTGAATCACACGTTGTACAAAAAAAATCAGATTTTAATTTAAGTTAAAGTCAAACAATCAATATTAACCACATTTTCATGGGTCCTACAGCTTTTCAACCACATATTTCAAAAATTTCTATCAAAATCTACTAAAAATCTAATTTTAATCTCCACCAAACACAACCATAAATAGATTAATTCAAAAGTTAATTATTTCATTGAATGCTCTGAACAAGTAGTTCATTGTTGACTAGTTCAACGAGTCTCATGTATTAAAACTGAGAAATATGAACCACAATTTCCCTTATGGATAAAGCCACTCAAACAGATAAAAGTACATCAGTACTAAGTCTAACAGGCAACAGCAACGCGTCGTGACCGTGTTTTCTTCTATATGATATTGTTGTTGACAAAGCCTTGGGTCCTTAAAAATAACTACAAGTACGTCTGAAATTACACAACTAAGCGTGTATATGATTATATAAATAACCCAGTTGAAATCTCGTGTCTAAAGTTTCAACAATTCACTGTGTTTCTCTTGAAAATTGTAAAAGTTTTATTCAAATGTATAACAACTACTGCGATAATTGGGAGAGACTAGTGGGAGCTGTGTTTGATAGAGAGAAACTTAAGAAGCTTGCTTTAGCTCATTCGAGAGAGTCGAGTTCAAGCTCCATATCCTGGCTGGATTCTCCAATTCATGAGCAGATTCTTCAACTTGAAGGCTTTAAATCTCCCAGTACAGTAAATGAACCGGATTGGGAGAGATTACTGCCGTCTGATTACGAAGGCCTCATCTCCAGATCAGTGAATCGTGTCGCCTATGCAACCAAGAAAGACCTCTACTTAAGTCTCTGTGAATTTCCTATTTTACTTGATGGAGGAAAAATGGTAACATTTTCTTTTGTGTTTGTTAGTAATTAGTATTATTCTCTTAGGCCTGCTTGGGAGTTTTGGCATACCGGTTTGAAATTTAAAGTACCAATTTTGAACGTTTATGAGTAGATCGATTTTGAATAGTTTTAATAATGATTTTTATAACTATATAATTCTTGCTTGAGAGTTTTTTATCCGCTGGTTCTAAATTTTTTTTAAAAGGATAAAATTACATATATTTTGCTTAGTAAAATTTTCGATTTATAATTTCTACTTTTTTATATGAAATTTTTATATTCATAATTAATATTTTACTCATAGATAATTTTTTACATATAAGTTAATATTTAATTTAAAAAATTAAATGAAAAATAAAGATTTCTTTTTATGAAATTAATAATTAATTTTGAATAATGATATTTAACATTAATTTAAACTCTAATAGCTTGTTAATATTTTGAGTTAAAGCATGCAATTATATAAATTTTTAATTGAACCATGTAAATAAGTAAATTCTTAATTGAAATCTGCTACAAAGTCCTGGATGAAGTTACCACATTTTGACAATGAATGTGCAGAGCTTTCATCTTGATAAAAGAACAGGGAAGAAATGTTATATGATTGGAGCAAAGGAACTCGCAATTTCATGGGGTGAGACACCAATGTACTGGGAATGGAAGTCTCAGATGGATTCCAGGTCAGTCACCTTGCACACCTTTTGCATTTTTATAATTTTTGGGGATTTATTTCATGTAAACTAAAGGAATCATTATGTATATATAAAAACGTTGATATAAAACTTATCGGTGGACTTTTTCCTCTACCAGAAAGGGCCCCCTCTTTCGGCCAAATCTGCCCACATTAGGATTACTGGTTGATCAAATTGGATGGATTCACCGTCTGGCTTCTTATTCCACAACAACAAAAGCACTTTTTCATTCTTTCATATGCTAGGGGATTTCACTTGGAAAAGAAAATGTTCCGTACTGATGGTTTTCGGTTCTAGTGAGTCAAATGTATCTCGTCTTATTTAAAAATTAGTAAGTGCCATTCTTCAATGAAAATCTCTCCCTCTCTGTGGTCATGCAGTTTCTCAATGGTGGCAAAGCTTTTGTCAGTATGGTGGCTTGACATACGTGGCAAGATCGACACAAAAATGCTATCCCCAAAGACTCAATATGCAGTTTATCTCGTATATAAATTAGAACAGAATTACTATGGCCTTGGATCAGCAAATGCGATGATCAAGTTTCTTATCCGTGAAGATGATGCTAAAGCTAAAAAGCGAGCTACTACTTTGCGACTTCAACCACCCGGGTATACAAATAGTCAGAATGCAGTTGCGAGGAGACCCGATGGATGGATGGAAGTAGTAATGGGACATTTTTATAATGATAAAGGAGATGAAGGCATGGTGGAGGCACGGTTATTGGAAACCGATTGTCAGAAGAGTGGCCTCATTGTTGAAGGCATTGAGTTTCGGCCCCTGAATGCAAACGGTGTTATTTTTTCAAAGAAATATGTGAAAACAGTAAAGAAAGGGCTCTTATCAAAATTTAGGATTTCTCAATAAATTTGATATAAGCATGTTCGGCCAAGATTAAAAGATATATTTTTCTAGCTTATTTGGACAATGTGGATTCTTACACTGCTCAGAGCTGGAAACAAATGTACGTGCGTGTTTGATTGTCTTTATTTTTTATGGAAATATCATTTTTTTTTCATCCAAATTTTTACTTTTGGGCTGTTTGATTGATAATTTCTTTTCATGAACATTTTTCAACTTTTGATTATGTGACATTATTTTCCTTAAAAACAAGGAAAATATTTTCTTTGGGGAGGAGATTTTTATTTTTCAAGTAATTCACCATCACTTTCTCTCTGTCATCTATCCCCTCTTCCTCATATACCCACCAATAAAAAATGGACAAATATAATATTTTCTAGATTGAAAATTAAATCAATCAAACACATTTAATTGATAATTTTCATACAAATAGGTTCCAGACAATTGAATTGTATAGAAATTATTTTATTTCCATACAAATTCCATGTTCGCATCAAAAGCACCCTAAATTCTAACACACATGAATGCATTATTTCTTTTCTTTTTCCCCTTGAAACAAATATGGCTTTGTCTGGCAAAACTAAAAATCAACTTTTCAGCCAAATTTTGACCGTTACTTCACTGTACGTGGGGCCCGCCGCTGAGAGGACTGGTCCATTATTACGGCTGAACGGTCAAATTGTGGCTTAAAATTCGGATGGAAATCTGGGGCAGACAGCCTCATAGGAAGAATAAGCTACTAGTTTATATTGATTTTGTCTTGTTTATGTCACTTTGGGAGAAAGAAATCCCCAAGATTTAAGTACATTCTTGAGAAAGAAGACAAAATCGAGAAGTTTAAGGTATTTTGGAGTAATAGAGTTGACGTGAATTATCAAATACAAGAAAGTTGAAGAAGAAATATGAAGAACTTACATACGGGGAAATTATAGTACAAAGTTTGATACAAAGACCTTCACAAGATAAAAAAAAAGAAGATATATTTCTGAAAAGATAACTGAATTAGAAGTCTTAACACTTTTTACGAATCACAAAATTTGAAGTTCCCTACAAAAAGTGTTAGAATTAGGGTGTGACCCGAATTCTATTTTGAAAATAATTGAGAATTTTAATTAAAGTCAACTTAAGAATAATTCTTTGTTGGAATGTTTTTGGAATACTATTCGAAATCTATTTAGCAAACTCTAGTTGAAGTTTTATTTGAAAGCCCAATTAGAAGTTAATTTGTGTGGTACTTGAAGAGGACATTATGTGGACAAAGGAATGAAGAAAAACACCATTGGAGAATTTTTCTCGAAACCTAGCGCCGAGGCTCCACCTGTGCGGAATTTCGGTCTCCTAATGCATTTTCGATGTTTATTTTGCATTCTACTTCAGCTACAACACCAAGGCTAGGGTTCAAACGTCACTTATTTGTTCCCTATATATATTTAGCTCTTCATTGTATTTTAAATTTAGACAAATTATAACACAAATCATTGTATTCTTTTTCCATATTTTAGTGAAATTTTCTTTTTTCTGTAAATTATTTTGTTCTTGAGTTTGTGATTAATTACTACATATTGTTCCATATTTTTTTTTTCCTATTGTTACA